GTCCTGACTTGAGTTAGCTTCTGGTCTAGCTCGTGTCTCAGCATTGCTAATTCATCCTTGAAGTCTTTCTTTAAATCCCCCTTAAGATCGGAGATCGTTGATTCTAAGTCGTTCTTAAAGTCGTGGATATTTTTAGAAATATTCAACATTTCTTGGAGCAGCTTGTCTCCAGATTCACCAGCTTCACTGCTAACTAGTAGGTAGCTGCTATCTTTGTCTGCCGGCTTCATTTGTTTTTTGTTGGGCTGTAATTGTTTGGTTACACGCCCTCTCAGAGTCATAGGTCCTCTCTGTGATTTCCCCCCACTCATTTCTTGTCCCTCAAAGTTTTCCTTTAGAAGTTTTCTAGTTGGGAAGTTATATTTAATACCGTCTGAAGCAGAGTAATTGATTATGGGTCTTTCCTGAGCATGGCTTAACCGGCTATATAAAGTAATTTAAAGCATATTTTGCGTTTATTACAGCTTGACTCTTATTTCACATTTTTGTTCATCATTTTTAACAGTTATCAACATTTTACTTACCAAGTTAATTGCCAAAATTTCATCTCTAAAACAGGAATTCCTGCCCTGCAGTTGTCTTCCTCCATACACCAGTCAAGTTTCTCTTACAGTTTACATACATGCCTGTGAAAACACAGATGCTTCACTCACATCTTCCCTCCAGCAGCACAGAAGATCTATACAATCAGCACAGTTTTAATATGAACACCAAAGATTAGCATCACCAATTCAGTATCTGACCAAATGTCTCCCCTTCTGTTACTGAGATATGACGTTGAGTAATGGCCAGAAAGGTGTTTTATGCAGAACATTATGATTTAAAATTTCATCACTTCATTATTTTATCCTATAAGACATTTGTGTGAAATTTTTGTCATAATTAGCATTTGAATTCTAGAGTTAAGGCCAAAAACATGTTTTCTGAGGTCACACTGACCTCGGCCTTTCAAGGTGTTCTTGAGGTACCGTGTTAATGAGAGGCCTGTTTAAAAAGGTGGGTTTTCAGACGGGATTTGAAAATGGATAATGAGTCTATGTTCCTGATGTCAGAAGGGAGGGAGTTCCAGAGGCGGGGGGCAGAGCGGCTGAAGGCTCTGGATCCCATGGTGGACAGACGGGCAGAGGGCACAATGAGGCTGATGGAAGAGGCCGACCTGAGTGTCCGGGAGGGAGCGTTGATGTAGAGGAGGTCAGAGAGGTATGGGGGAGCGAGGTTATGGATGGCCTTGAAAGTGTGGTGCAGAATTTTAAAGTCCATGCGGTATTTGACCGGAAGCCAGTGAAGTTGTTGTAGGATAGATGTGATTTGATTGATGGATGGAGTTCTGGTGATGATACGGGTTGCAGAGTTCTGGACCAATTGGTGCTTATGGATGGCCTTGTGGGGGAGACCAAAGAGAAGGGAGTTGCAGTAATCCAGGCGGGATGTAACCAGAGTGTGGACCAGGATGGCAGCGCTGTTGGGTGTGAGGGACAGACGGAGACAATTAGTATTGCAAAGATGGAAATAGGCTGACTGGGTAATGTTATTGATGTGGGTTTGGAATGACATAGTGCTGTCAAGGACGACACCCAGACTCTTAATCTGAGGGGAGGGGAAAACAGAGGAGTTGTCAATGGGGATGGTGAAACTGGCAGTGTTAGTGAGGGTGGATTTAGAGCCAAAGAGGAGAACCTTGGTTTTGTCAATGTTGAGTTTTTGGAGATTTGAAGAAAACCAGGATTTGATTTCCTGTAAACAGTCACAGATGGAGGAGGGCGGGAAGGTGGAGATGGGTTTGGTGGAAAGGTAGAGCTGAGTGTCATCTGTGTAACAGTGGAAATGGATATTGTATTTACGGAATATATGACCAAGAGGGAGGAGATAGATGATAAACAGGATGGGACTGAGGACAGAGCCTTGGGGAACACTTCAGGAGAGGGGAGATGGTTGGGATGTGAAGGTTTTCAACTGAATGAACTGAGTGCAGCCAGAGAGATAGGATTTGAACCAGTCCAGGGGTGTGTCAGATATACTAATTGATGCTAGCCTGTCGAGGAGGATGGTGTGGGAGATGGTGTCGAAGGCTGCACTCAGGTCAAGGAGGATGAGGATGGTTAATAGTCCATAGTCAGCTGCCATCAGGAGGATGTTGATTTTTAGGAGAGCTGTCACTGTGCTGTGACGTGGGTGGAAACCAGACTGGAACTGTTCATAAAGGTTATTGTTATGGAGATGAGCATGAACTTGTGATGCCACTGCTTTTTCCAGGATTTTAGAGAGAAATGGTAAGTTAGAGATCAGACAAAGGTTATTGAAGGTATTGGGATCTGAACCAGGTTTCTTGAGTATCGGTGTTATAGAAGCAGATTTAAGAGCTGATGGAACAGAGCCAGAGGTGAGGGAGGAGTGAATGATGGCAGTTATCAGGGGCAACAGAGAGGGGAGGCAGGCAGTGACTAAGGAAGTTGGCAGGGGGTCAAGCTGGCAAGTAGATTTTTTAAAATTTCAGAATGAGGTCCGAAATGACAGCAGCAGAGGGCAGTTGGAAGCTTGAGAACGATTGAGAGAGGGGGACATGGAAAACCGGAGGAGATTGATTGCAGGAGGTGTGAGGGGTCAGTTGCTGGTGGATCTTGATTATTTTTGCACTGAAAATGTCATTAGTGAATTGCAGTGATCTATAGAGAAGAAATCAGAGGACAAGAGTCCGGAGGGCGCAGCGTGTTATTCAGCACTGAGAACAGGGCCCTAGTGTTCCCATCACCAGCACTGATTAGTCCTGCATAATATTGGGATTTGACTGAGGAGAGGGTGTCTTTACAGTGAATGATGTGGGTGTGGTACATTTGCTTGTGAACAGAGAGTCGGGTTTTCTTATAAAGCCGCTCTAGTTGACGTCCTTTGGCTTTGAGTTGTCGTAGATGAGGTGAAAACCAGGGAGCAGAGTGGGTGAATGACACATACCAAGTTTTTACAGGAGCAAGTGAGTTTTTGTTCAACTGAGCTGAAGTCTTTATTAGTAATTCCCTCAGTTTTATACTATGTGTAATTTTTGAGTTTGTATTATTTTCAGACCAGTTTGCCAGGTCTAAGGATAAGGCTGGTGTTATTTTACATTTCTCTTGTTGTGAGCAAACCTCATAAAACAAACAAACCAACAGTGTTTTTTTTTGTTTGTTTTTTTTAAATATTGTGCTGTTGTAGCTGATTGTGCAGCATTCAAGTAGCGATGATACAAAGAAAGAAATGTCAATGCTGTAGTCTAAGCTGAACATTAAGGCCCCTATATTAAAGCTCTGCATCCGAGGGACTTCAGCTCAGTTGAAAAAATTCAAAACAGTTTTAGTCAACTTTTTGTCATTATGTTTCTATATGTTTTTTTTTCTTTAAACTAATCCAGTGAGGTTAATTCATGTAACAGAAATTAGAATTGAGGTGACAACTACAACTCCAAATGATTTCTAGACACTTACAAAATATAATTTCTCCAGCAGTTTTTGACAGGTTTAAGGGATGATTTATGAGCACATACTTACTGATCATCATTTGAAAGCTCAACATCTCTCTATTTATGCTCTCAAAAACTTTGACACCACAAAATAACTAGCTTTGTACCCAGGTTTATTGTAAACTCTGACTTACCATCTCACTGTTAACAAGCAGAAAAATAACTTCATTAAAGCTTGAATTCTTTCTTAGTCTGCAACATGTTAGTCTGAAGGTTTAAAATTGTGTCCACTCATTGGTGATTAAAACCAAAATTTCATCTCTGTCAGAGAAAACTGATCTGGGTTCAGACTCTTTCCCTAAAGCACAGCTACACTCATAGATAACTGAGCCTCCTACCTGCCTGTCAAAAAGCATCAACCCATAAACCTTCTTCAGTCTGCATCTGAGTGGAGTCCTCCAGAGATCAGATGTCAAGTCCGGCGGCTGGTGGCTGCTTGCTTCGCTGCTGTTCAGCGGCTAATGAGTGGATCTGACTGCTAACAGCCACTGCTGCAACTAACAAACTCCACAAATCATTCAGCAGCTCCACCATCCACAGTCAGACACACACAGCTGATTATTTACTGCTGAATTAGAGCTCATAACTCACACCACGGCTGATGCTGCTCTGGTGCAAGTGTTTCTGCTGGTTAGCAAAATATCCTGGTGTAGACTGTTTACTGGAGTTTACCAGCCTGAGCATTTGAAGGTAATTACAAGCATGGCTATTCTTGGCTTTCAATGTCCGATAGTCCACCATTAACGTTTTCATCATGTCTCATCTCGCCAACAAAAATAAAACATAGATTTCGTCTTAGTTTTTATTATCAAGATTTATTTTTAGCTCATCATCGTCTCGTTTTGTCATGGAAAAAAGGTCATTGACGAAATTAACACTGATCCAGAGGGAGCTTACAGTAGAGCCGCTGCTCCTTTGTGTCGAAAGGGGCCAGTTGAGGTGGTCCGGCAGCTGATCAGGATTGCATCCTGGACGCCTCTTGTTTGAGGTTTTCCGGGCACGTTTAAGCATTGCTGGGGAGAGGGATGTCTGGAGTACTTTGCTCAGTCTGCTGCCCCTGCGACACGGCCTCGTATAAATGGATGAAAATGGATGGATGGGTTGCTGTTTGAGGAAAAGATGGTACTATGTTACACTCTCAATATATTAGACATTTTGGACATATAGAGATAAAGGATTTAAAAGAAATGATCAATACAATTAAATTTAAAAAATGAGGGACGGAAAAATGGTTATAGAGATTCATATGCCTGAAAAAGAAAATGGAAGTCTGAGAGAAACTACATTGGACCATCAGTACAGATTATGGAGTGATTGAGAAATATAGAATATCACCAACCACATCCTTTTAAATGAGATTGAACAGTAGAATCATTAACTATCTATTACCTTCAAACTAGTTATATTCTTGATATGGAGCCATGACACAGCCTTCAGTGTACATCTAGTGCTGTCCAGTAACACTACCTGACGTGCTGCAGCTAGCTGGTGCATCTTCTCTCCTCAGGCGCTGCTCGTTCAGGGCTACCTGGCGAAATCAGGCTGGGGCTTTCCGAAGGGGAAAGTTAATGAGGATGAAGCTCCTCATGACTGTGCAGTTCGGGAAGTGAGTGTCATATTGTTTGCTGTTCAACTGATCATCAGAAAGGATTAAACAACATGTATAATTAATGCTTACAGTTCATAGCTCAGAAATACTGTCCGTTTTCCAGGTGTTGGAGGAAACAGGCTATGACATCAAGAATCGCATCTGCAAAGACATGTACATAGAGCAGAAAATCACTGACCAGCTGGTGCGGCTCTACATCATACCAGGAGTGTCAAAGGATACCAAGTTCAATCCCAAAACAAGAAAAGAGATCAGGGTAGGAAGTCCTGTTTTTACACATACTGTCATCACATTGATTTCCTGCTTACAGTTTTGTTTCAAATCCTGTTTTTCTTTTCTTGTAGAACATTGAATGGTTTCCTATTGAGAAGCTGCCATGTCACAGGAATGATATGACCCCAAAGTCTAAACTTGGACTTGCCCCCAACAGGTTTTTCATGGCCATTCCATTCATAAGGTGTGTGTGTGTGTGGCATGTAGCAATTCATTCTTTTCATCACAGAATTTTCCATTTATCTTGAAAGAATATAATTGTATTTCCTTCTGAGAATGCGTTAAGAAGATAGATAGTCTCAGTGTTGTTAAATTTTTGTATGTTTGGACTTGAAAAATCGGATTGAGTGCCATTATAGTAATTGACTCATATTGATGGCATACTTCCTGCTCCCTCTGTACAGACCACTGCGAGAATGGATCAGCAGGCTGAAAGGCGAGTCAACAGACAGTGATGAGGACTTTGCAAACAATGGCAACACTCCATGCAAACCTTCAGACAGTGCTCGGTAAAGACGCTTTATCATTCATCAGTAGAACTTAGCATCACATTACATTACATTTATTTATATTTACATTACATTTTGCTTTTATCCAAAGTGGCGTACTTTAGGAGTATTTAATCATGCAGCTATGTGGGTACAGATCCAAGAAGTGCAAGAATCATTCAGGTAGATCAGTTTCATCTATTATGCTGATCTACTTCAAGTGCTACAATTACAGTGTCATGAACCGGCTCAGGGTTCAGACAAAAGAAGGGAGAATAAACAAAAGGATGGAGGTTAAAAATGAACCAATTTATTGTATAATGTTATTTACAAAAAAAATGAATGAGATGTGAACAATCAGTAGCATCAGTGGTGTGTGCAAGTGCCAGGGTGAGTGAAAAATGGTGTATGGAGATGTTGCATGCTAAAAGAAAAGACAAAACAAATTGGTAAAACCAAAGGAGCATGTGGGAGCTGGGAGAGCTTCAAAAGGGTGAAGCAAACTGAACTGCCCAGCTTTGTAGACTTGCAGCTCATCGGCCCATGGGCCTCATTTATAAAACTGTGCTGAGAATCTGCACAAAATGTTTGCATACGTACAAATGAGGAAATATATGTATGCCAAAAAATATTCTGATTTATAAAACCTGCCAGTATACAGAGTTCTTTTATAAATCCAGGATCAACTTGGAATTGTCTGCATGTGGACCAGCCTCATATCCTGCCATCTACACACCTGTATTCAATGATAAATGGTCAGTGAAAAGCACATCATTAATGCTGATGCATAGACATGAGTCGGCTGATCTGTGGCTCTTTACAGTAAATTATGGCAAAACCACAACACATGCATATTTCTGATGTAGAAATCCAGGCCCTTTTTGAGCTGGAGTTTAGAAAGCAGATAGCCTATTGTTTGGTGGGCAGTGGGGTCACAAACAGTTCATCAAACAGGACATTACCTGACTTTTTTTTGTTTGTTTGTTCTTTTGTAAAGGTCAGATCTAAAGGAAAAGAATTGCACCCTTACGTCTTTGCCAATTTACACAAACCATATATGCAGGTCGTGAAGATGTGCAGGGCAAGACGCGGAGTACTGCAGTGTCTCCAGTGTGCTCTGTGCGCCTGACAGCATTTTATATACAAAAATGATCTGAAAACTGATATGGTAGTTGGTGGGATATGCAAACTATTAGAAGAGATAATTAAAAACTGCTGACACAGTGTACTGCAATTATGTAATGCTGTTTGATGTTATCTTGGATTTCTACAACCAACAACATTAATTTCATTAGCCTGGTTAACGTGGTCGAGGTGAAAATGACTCAGTATATTCATGCTTATTATCGGCTAAGGGAAAGGCAAACTTTCCTGAATGCTCTCACCCAGTGTCAGAAATTAGCAAGGGCCACGGGCCATTTGGCCCGCAGTTTATCCAAGAATGCCCCCAGAAGCCATGTTCTGGGGGCCAAAATTGCCCCCAAGTTTTCAAAACAACTATATGTATTTATATTTTTAACAGTATTACAATCTGACATTAGTAGTATAATTAGTATAAGAAGTATAATTTTATTTTTATTAAATTAATTTACCGTCATGTCTACAACTCATTTTCCAGACATAATCAAGGAGATTGCCCTGATTACATGAGAGTAATCTGACAGAGAAGGGGAGGGGGCTTTGCTGTACCATAAGTATAAATTAACCATTTCTTGGGTGATCTGTGTCTACACAATGACAAATTAATGAAAAATTAAGGTAGAATGAATGTTAAATTTTAAATTAACTTACTTCCAGGATTGCATCTAAGGAATTTATAGTAATTTGGCCTTTTTAACAGTAAAAGTAACTGTAATGTGGTGAAACATTAGTACTGCTATCAGTAGATTAATGGTTAAATCATCACATTTAAACTGGTTGAATTATAGGAAATCTGAGTGATATTGTGCAACCATAACTTTATGTAACCCATTATTTATTTCATTTATAGTGGTTTCTACTGAAGAGTGAAGACACTATCTTAGTTGGTTTTGCTTTTCATGTGCTTAGTGTTAGAAGATAATTACAATTTTTTGATGGCCCCCAAACATTTTGAAAATGCCCCCATTTTTTAGACCGTGGGGGCTAAAATTGCCCCCAAAATATTTTGTTAATTTCATACCCTGCTCTCACCTGCCACAGCCTGACATCATTCAACTGCGCACAGTGCTCTCCACAGCTAACCAGTGTCAGCAGCATACAGTTCGGGCCTTGTGTGCACGCAGTGCTTAAAAACAAGGGCCCCTGCTGAGCCAGCTTCCTAACAATCTGCACTACCAGCCCACTACCTGCAAGGGGAGGAGAAAGCACAAGCAGGTCAGGAAGAGTAGAGACACAGGAGGGGTCATCACAAGAGACAGTAGGCGATAGAGACAGAGGTTGTTTTGTTTTTGCTGTTCTTTATTTTGGGGCAAGTTGTCCGTCTCCACACTGTAAGAGCCTGGACCAGAACCTGCTCTGCATCCTGGGTGAGGCTGTACCCTACCACTATATACTGAATATCTGACAGATACTTGACAAATTGATCAAATTGAAGTCTAATGAGGCTGGCTGGAAACTAATCAAGCGGGCGGCACCAGCTATATCGGCACCTCTGCTTGCTTCATTGTTGCTTCATTTTAGACGAGATTATGGCTGCATTACAGCGTATCGTTGTGCCCAATCAACTGAACCAAAGGCGTCGCCGTCCGCATAGCCATTTGGTTCATGTTAATCATTTTATAAGGACAAACTTCAGTCAGCTTGATGTCCTCTCAGACAGTGCCATCCTGTCCAAATACCGGCTGCCACGTGAGGAGATCCTGAAACTGCTTGCACTTGTGTCCCCGCTAGTGTTGTCACGATACCAAAATCTTTGTTTCAGTACCCATACCAATATGAATTTCGCTACTTTTCGCTACTTTTCGGTACGTCATGGTTTGGTTGCTCAAAAGTTTCACCAAGTTGGTGTTGTCTCGTGTTGTCTCCCTTTGCGAGGCAGACTTTCTCTTGTCTTTTTTCACGTACACCAGCTGCGAATGTTGATACAGGTGTTGTCATACACACCACTTGTGCAATCTGTGCTCCAATAAGAACAAGAAAGGCATTTGTGTGCATAAATGAGTAAAATAAATTAACTAAATTAATGAATTGAATCAATTTCAAAGTACCGGTATTTTCCAAATGCAGTATAGTACCGTTTGGAATACTCTAGTACTGCGGTACTATTTTAGTACCGGTATACCGTGCAACACTAGTCTCCGCACATTTCCAGAGCTAACAAGTGCAACTTCGCCCTCAGCCCAGAGGTACAGCTTCTGGCGGCTTTACGTTTTTATGCACACACACACACACACACACACACAGTTAATACTCATATGAAAGGCTGTTACTTGGTTAAAGCTATTTCTGTTCAAAGAAGTAACAGTTATTCAGGTTAATAGAGATAGTGCCAGCACAAATGTCCCATTGAAAACATACCTACGTATGAATTGACAAGTACAAAAACAAAATCAGGTATATGGTACATGGACATTGTCACTTTCTGTGGAGTTGAATGCTGACTGTAATAAGATAGTGGTGTGTAAGGTACATAAAGGAGTGTGTCTTTTCTTTTCTGTCTAAAGCTGAACAACATACATTCCTGTATTTAGTTATGTTATACACACACACACACACACACACACACACACACAGAGCAATGAAACGTGGATATGCTGCTGCTACAAGTGTCTCTTGTGTGACAACAACAGATTTGCAGTCTATACGTTGACAGAACTAATGTTGGAAAACTTATATGTAAGACACAAACTGGCATTGATCTGCAGTGATGGAAAAAGGGAGACAAACACGTATGCCAAAACGCTCGTCTGGACGAAAATTTAGTTTTAAAGAGCTGCTTTTAAAAATAACTGTGTATGTGTGGACTAGGCTTCAAGTAGATGAGCAGATGTTCTGTAAAAGGCATAGCCTCATTTATGGTATAATATTTGATGGAGGTAAAATTATTAAGCAAATACTTTTCATATTACAACGTCATTTATTTACCTTTATATAAGGTCAATCGATGCGTGCAGCATCAATTAATACACTTTCAGCACCGTGGTGAAGGACAGCTCTAACTTACAATTTACCTTAGCAGCCCTCCTTACGAGCAACCGCTAAGGGACGGTTTGGGAAACGCTCGTAGGAAAAAAAGTTCATAGAGATCTTCATAGAGCTCTAAGGCACATTGAAACTGGGAAATGGGGCCCAGACTGTTTTTCTGTTATTTGAAACAAAAAAAGAGCAGTCTCACAGAGAATAATCACAATCTCTGCAGCTTTTTTTTTTTTTTTTAATTTTATTTCTTCAGTCAGATGCTTGGTTTGGTTTTCCAGCTCTCATCAACCTGGCTTCCAGCAGCAGCAGGAATCTTTTTTTTCTTTTGTTTTTTCTGTGAAAATTCTTTGATAAACCTGCTGTATACTACCTGCTCATCAGCTGCTAGTTTATAGGTAGGTTAATATGAAATGAGATGGGAAAAAATGTTTCTGTTGCAACAGCAGAGAAGAGAGGAAAAGTAGTACATGCCAGATGAGGTCTCTATGAACCAAATGTTGCATCTATAATCATGGGAGATGCTAAACAGTGTATGGATTATTTTCTGTTAAAAGACGATGTATAACTTTTTCCCAGTTTTTGTCACAAAGTCTGTAAATATTATTCTGAGCTACAGTGGTTGGACGAGTGTGAAAGTATCAGCTCTTGTCAGTAATCCTGTCTGGATGCAAAAAAACAAAAACACTTTATTAATTTTTTTTATCCTGTTTTTTGCAGGTTATCCTGGAGAACCTTCTTACAAACTGTAAAATTTTGCTAAATTGCATGTTTGTGTGAATTTATTTAGTGTATCAAATTTGTTTGTTTCCACCTCAAACAGTACTCTTAAATCTGGGCAGGGTTGTTGTCACTCACTGCTCCATCCAGCCCTTGCTGTGTTTTCTGTATTTTCACCAGTGACA